TATATGTCTTCAGCAAAACCATGTCAATGTTCATCTTCATCCACTGCCTGAGCATCCACAGAAATGCAGCTTCGGCTGGTGCTACTATAATAAGTTAAAAATACATTAAAAGAATGTATCTGTACATTTCCAGATCCCTGTTACAATCTGAACTCTAATGTTCTTCACTAGCAAGGAGAAAAATGCAACATTTCACCTGACTAGAATGTAAATAGATTCAAATAAATATTCATCAGTAGACAGTTCTGAATATAAATAGCTTGCTGCTATACAGCAGAAATTGCAGCATAGCCTTTCTCTTCAAGCAGTTCTGCTAAGGAACTATCTCCTGTCTTTGTGATTCGTCCATCCTCCTAAAGACCAAAAGATGAACAATCAAAACACGTCTTAACTGGATATAGGAATGATAAATAGCTCTCATGATGAACAAAGGAAATCCACTGTTCTGGAAAATGCTTATGCTAGAGAGAACACAAAGTTAAAAAAAATAAAAAAATAAAAATAAAAATAAAAAAGCCAAAGAAAAGTCATTCTACATAGAGATAGCTGGAAAAGCCAATTGATCAATGGAACTTTGTTTATTTGAGTGAACTAAAAATCCCAGTCTAATTAACTTAAATCCTATAAAAATGCTCCTAATGCCTAGCTAAAGAAAACAAAGCTACTTGCAGGTCCACCATGGCATTTTATTCTTCATGAGAAGAAGAGGAAGAAGAAAATGGAGAATGCAAGAAAATAAAGCCAGTTGACTAGCAACACATATGTTTCCAGTAAAAACAGCTTTGTTGTAAAGGAAAAAGCAGTATTAAAAAGGGGCAAAAATCTCTCCCCAATTATCTAAATAACAAAAACATGACTCTTATCTTCTCCTCAAAGGACCTGACAATGAAGACTACAAGAAGAATAACTAAATCTAGTAGTATCTTACCATAATATGGACAAGAGTTGGCTTTATGAATTCCAAAAGTCGCCGATAATGTGTAATCATTAAAACGGAATTCTTTGGAGTCAGAAGTGCATTCACTGCTTTTGCTACATCTCTAAGTGCATCAACATCTAAACCAGAATCAATTTCATCCAGTATGGCCAAGTCTGCCCCCAAAACCTAGAACATAAAGAAAATGAGAAACCAAATACAAAATTTTTAGTTTTTTTGCATTTAAACATCCCAAAATGTAAGTAGCATCACACTGCATCTCCTCGTTTTCTTTCTTTTTCCCTCCCCTTTTTTTTATAAAGAAATCACAAACAGAATAAACAACAATAAATTACATGAAAAAATTGTTCCTGAAAAAGAAAAGAAGAAAAGAAGAAAAGAAGAAAAGAAGAAAAGATTAGAGTATAGTCATATCCATACCGCAAGTTGTAAAATCTCATTGCGCTTCCTTTCACCTCCACTAAACCCTTCGTTGACATTTCTGTTAAGGAAGTCAATCTTCATGTTTACAAGATCGAGTTTAGGAGCCATGTAAGCATAGAACTACAAGACAAAACAACAAGGTTCTGAAATAAATCCTTCATATCTTTAAAACTTGTCATCTGATAACTTGAAATATAAAATCATCCCAGGCAGGCAGAGCAGAAGAAACTCTAAAGACATCACCAAAATCTTAGTAACGGACTTCATGTTCATTCCCCCTAATGGATACGGAATTATAGCCATCAAAGTACGGTGATGGTGGAGTGGTAGAAATGCAGCTATAATACAAACCTCAAGTGGGCCAAGTTCTGGCTCCCCAAGTTGCCTCCTTCGAGCATTGTATGCCATATTCAAGAAATCGATATTGTTAACACCCGGAATCTCAACCGGGGACTGGAAACTCATAAAAAGCCCAGCAAGGGACCTTTCCTCTGGTTCCATGTCAAGCAAGTTCTCCCCTTTAAACACAACACTGCCTCCGGTCACTTCATAATCGGCGTGCCCACCAAGAACCTACAATTCATAAGACCTTACTCAGCCTTTTGATTGATCATACTGTTCCTAAAACGCTAAACTTGCTTAGTAACACAAAATAATAATTTACTTAAAAAAGACTTACCTTGTACTCACCTTTGAAAGTGTACTCTTTCCAGAACCGTTCTTCCCCATTATTGCATGAACCTAATGAAATTAAAATTCAAACCAGCTATTACTTAATCTATTCTTCTGAGAACCCATCTCATGCTTTAGGATTTCCGAACTAGTAAGTTTAAAAAGAACACAAATTGATATCAAAGATTAGTATTTGAAGACGGACCTCTCCTTCACAAACGACGAGATTCACGCCTTTAAGAATTTCCTGTTTCGTCTCCGCAATCACTGCCGTCAAATCTCTGACTTCGAGAAGAGGCTTCTTTGAATCATCACCGCCGCCCTTGGACAAGGGCGCGGGAGAATCGATGGCAGATAGGCGGAGGGTCACAGGAGGCCGGTTCTTGCGAGAATTGGAGCATAAACGGGGACGACGAGTGGCAGGGATCGTAAATAAGGAGGAGTTGGATGGCAAACATATGGGTCTAGAAGGAGAAGGAGAGGAAGAAAGGGGAGATGATAGAGCACCTGCCATTTCCACACCAGAACCTCTTAACAT